ACTGGGCATATACCCAAAGGAATATAAATTATTCTACCACAAAGACACATGCATGCATACGTTCGTTGCACCACTAGTCACAATAGCAAAGACATGGAATCACCCTAAATGTCCACCGACGTTAGACTGGATAAAGAAAGTGTGGCACACGTACACAATGGAATACTACACAGCCACAAAAAACAAACAGATCATGTCCTTTGCACCAACATGAATGGAGCTGGATGCCATTATCCTAAGCAACTTAATTCAAGAATAGAAAACCCAATGCCACATGTCGTTACTTATAAATGGAGCTAAACAATGAGAACACATGGACCCAAAGAGGAGAACAACAGACACTGGGGCCTACTTGAAGAAAGACGATGGGAAGAGGGAGAGGATTAAAAAACAAGTCTTAGTGGGTATCAGGTTTAATACCTGGGTGACGAAATAATCTGTCCACCAAACCCCTGTGACATGCAGTTCACCTATATAACAAACCTGCACATGTACCTCTGAACCTTACAGTCAATATTCAAATCCAGGCTTAATGAACTCTAAAACTTAAGTATTTCATCGTCATATATTGCTTCCAGAGTCAGAATGTAGATGTCAAAATTTCTGAAATATTTTTCTATATATTTAAAGTTAGACATTGTTATGGCTTGAGTTTGTTTCCATAATTCAGGTTCTGCAAGGCTTCTCTTGAGAAATTAGGTAACTGTGACTCACTATCTCATTCTTTGTCTTTAACTGCCATGTTAAGGCCTATGGATCAGATGCCTATATCTTCAGTGAATGCACAGGCAACTTGAAGCTAAGGTAAAAGGAAAACTGAGTCACTATCCTCCAATCTAGTATATTACCCAAACGGCACTCAGACCAACCTTCTTTCTGCATCCCTAATACATGCTTACCAGTTGAAGACAGGACTCCTATGTAAGGAGTTCTCATTTTTTCATTTTGTTTTGTTACTGCTTTTGTTCTTATTGACTGGTCCATTCCAATAATTCATATTTCTCTGTACACTTTCTAAAATTGCTATTTGTGGATGGTGACATCAATCTAGCCTCTTTGCCATCTTACTTCAGGTGGTTAGATGAATCCCATTCCTAGTCATTATCAGCTCTGATCCATTTGTTCTCTGCTACAACATTTAAAGACAATCCGTTTTCTGACGCATGATGGCTTAGACATAATGGAGCGACAGTTTCTAAGTTATCTTGTCTAAACACATAATACAGCCATTTCTACATTCATAGGAATTATTCTGCTATACATAAAATCCCTTAGATACAATAATTTTAGAAAGAGGCACGTATCTCCATGGCCCCCTACACCTAAATGCGCCATGGACCTTTTCTGCTTTGGTGACCCACTCAAAGGTTGTCTCACCGCTCAATCTATGATTCACCAGCTGAGCAGGAAAGACTTGCCCTTTTACTCGTTTTGTGTATGAAATAGGTTCATTATGCTTTGGGATCTAAACTCCGAAGAAGACAGAAGCATGACCATCTGTCATGACTCATCTAAAGCGTAGATCGCGGAATGGTATGAGTCATGATCAGGGATGGTAGTAGGGAGAAATTACTATGAGGAAAATAATCAACAACTATTTAAATTAATATCCAACCAAAGCTAAGATCTTAGGCATCCAAATTCTGCTACTGTAATGAAAATGTTTTTATTTATATTTTATTATGTATATTCAATTTTTAATGATTTAGGGGGTACAAGTGCAGCTGTGTTATATGGTTAAATAGCACAGTGATGAAGTTGGGACTTTTAGTGTATCCATCACCTGGATAGTGTATGTTATACCCATTAGATAATCTCTTATCCCTCACCCTACTCCCACACTTCCATCTTTCTGAGTCTCCAATGTCTATTATCACACCGCCTCTATGTCCAATATCACTTCTTGGCCTTTCCACTAAGATAACTGCAATGTCTGATCTTATCAGTTTTGACTTATTTTGAAGAGATACTTGTTCAATCCACTTTTATCAATGAGATTAGACTACTAACTTTGGTAGAAGGGAATAGAGACTAGCTTATTTAATATTCTTCCCATACCTCCTCAGTGAGATTTTCTACAACTGGGTCAACATAAAGCATAAAATATCTGTGAATAGAGCAAACACACAAACCCTGCATATACTATAACAATGAAAATAATTAATGATATTTCTTCTTATTGAGCATTTACTGGATTCTAAAGTAAAGCTATGTTTATTACAAAATTTATAGCATATATTCTTTATTGTATATCCATGAAGATGCAACATATATCCCATTTCACATGTGAGAATCATGAGGTTCAAAGCAGTTAGAAATCTCTCTGAAGTTAATAAAGATAATTAGTGTTAGATGCAAGATTCATATTCAACTTAGTTAATTAAAAAGTTTTTGTAGTTTAGGGAGTATGTTTCTTCCAGTGTGAGAGTAAATATTAAAATATCTGTAATGTATCAGTAAGCATTTCAAATAGTGTTGAATTTTACATTTGGTTTTATAATACAGACTCTTGAAGCTTCTAAAACAGGACGAGGTACACAAGATGACTAGGGTTTCTTGTCCTCACTAGGAAACCACCATAAGCAAACAGATCTTTCAGCACTTTTCTTCCATCTCCTTAAGGACCAAAGAAAAAATGCTATGGAAATCTACAAGTAGAAATAAATGAGAGCGATTTGATATTGGAAGTAGAATGTCCTTAAGTGCTTCCCTTAGTAACATTAGAGAGAGTCACATATGATTTTCTGGACACCCACTATCCTTACATTAACAAGGTATAAAAAAAGACAGGTACTGGGAATGCCCTGGTGAAATCTGGAATGGTTCTGATTACTGTTGGGAATCCTGAAGGATTTTGGATACCTGATGCACATCACTGGATAACCAGAACCCTGACTGGAACTGTGCTTTCAGAGAGTGCTGATAGCAAAATGAAGATCAGTATGCCCAAACAACCGACAGCTGAGTTTTCTGGGTCCTGAAGTGCAAATTACAGGAATCCTTTGCGTATTTGCTTGATGAAAATGGCTTCCATCCATTTGGCTAACACTGTTCTGAAACTTCTACCCTTATAACCTAGAAGATTGTTTAACAAAAATAACTCCAGCAGAGGTGCTTGACCAAGTTAGCCTAGACGAGTTTTCACCAGAAACAGAGCCAAGGCCCAATCACACACCTATAGAATTTCAGTCAATAAAATGAAGGATGAATGCCATTTGTGAATGTGCAGGTGAAGATGTTAGGATATCTAAAGCTTTGCTGTTTTCCAGAGAAAATGCAAGAGGGATGACAATGTAAAAAGAAGAAAAGAAAAAATAAATTTAAAAAAGCAAAACAGATAGATGATGATATAGATATAGATGATATAGATAGATATAGATATAGAGGCAGATACATAATCAGGCTTTATCTCATAGTGAAACCATTAATCAGAAAAGTCAATCTTTTCCTCAGAACACAGATGCCAGAATCACCCGAACATATGACTCCAATAAGTTAGTATCCTCTCAAAAGTGGATAGTCCGTATAGGTAACTTCAGGCGTCAGAGAACCTCCAACTCTGAACCATCCTCAGATGTCACAGAAAATGTCACAAACCCCACCTGGTAGTTCTTTAACCAAAGGACCAGGTTCTTGTTGCCATTCTTTGTGCCTCCCTTTATTATAATTAAAGGGATAATCAGTATCTTGACAGAGCTTTTCAATCAATATCTGACTAAATACAGTTTTTTATTTTACTGTATTTCTCATTCATCTATTAAGTATGTAATCAGAGATGCTACTATATTCTCAGATTTTTATGATTTACAAGGGATACATTAATAAAATCATTCCTGACCTGAAGACATTATTGTGATTTATGGTCCAGATACAGAGAAAGAGTGGAGGAGAGTATACAAAGATGAAGAAATACAAGAATGTGTTCCTCTCTTACATTGTAGTGTTCATTCACAGCTTTCCCCTTTGCTTCAGAACCAAAACTCAGTTTATTTTCAACATTCTTACTCTTTCCTATATGCGTTGTTTCATATATGGTACTCCCTTTGTCTGGAATCTTTTTCTCTTATTCCTTCCCTGGCCCTTATATATTTCTGGGCCAGCCTAAAACTGTCCTCAAGCAAGACCTCCTGATAACCCCATCCAAAAATAAGACAGATCATCTCTTTGTGTCCTTCACGTGTCCATTTATTTCCTTTATAATACTTGTCACCACAGTAATTATAGTATATTTTCAACCCTGTGAGTAATTGAGATTACATATACTACCTGCTCAGGTAAGTAAAAACAAGGGTCCATGAATGAGTTTATATCTGTGTGTATCAAATCCTATTCCACGCTACATTTTACTTACCAGTAAGTTGGACTGTGTAATCACCTGCCTCTGTGTCACAGCACCCTCTATCAGCAGTGAACAAGAAGTCAACTTACAGAAAGAAAAGGGGAGTATTAAGTCATTATTCTCTCATTTAGTTTTTCGCCCAGGCCCCAAGATCCACACTGACGCAGCCTACAGCCTCAATGACTCCCCCACACCTATGAGTTGAAGACAGGCTTATACTTTACAGGAGTTTGCTATATGTGATTGGATTTTTCTTTATTATTTTGTTATCGTTACCCAAAGTTCATATTTTCCTGAAGAGTGTCTACAGATTTTATCTGGTGGATCAGTAAGCAGGCAGTGTGTTTTTGTCATCTTGGCAGAAGTGGCCTCAAATAGACCCCATGCCTAATCATTGCCAGCTCAGATCCATTTTCTCTTATACTATAATGCTAGTTTCTGTGTATGCTGAAATGTCGGTTAAGAAAACTAAATGTATGCCAGCATCCAGAGAGATTAGCAGAGAGAAGATTCTATAAAAAGGGATTTTGACAGGCACACACACACACACACACACACACACACGTATGACATCCAACTTATATAGAAAACTATTAAGCAGAAAAAACAGTTCTTTCTGTCATAAAGTGAAAGACTAAAGTACCCAAATTTATGACTCCAGAAGGATGAAGCTCGCCCAGGAGCACAGTCACCGCCTGCAAACTTTAGAATCATCTCACCAACTGCGGCCCCTCCTGTTTCTTCTGATACTTTCACCAACCGCCATCCAGCAGTTCCTTAAATAAGGTACCACCTTTCTATTTCCATTCCTGTACCTCTAAAATATAATTGTAGGGGTAATCTCAGTCTTCAGAGGGATTCTCATTTAAACTCTGACTATATATTATTTCATTATTTTACTACATTTCTCATTCATTTATCAGTATATAATTGGACATGCCACTGGATTCTAAGTCTTTCAATACTCACAAAACATGCATTCATGAAATCAATTCTGTCTTCAAGAAGATTACTGTTTTTCATTGGTGCAAATATAGTGTATGTGGGGAGGTATCCAGACAAGGAGAAATGAATACAACAGTATGTTCGTACCTTCCATTCCAGTTTCCTTTCACAATTTTCCACTATGACTAATGACCATAACTTAGGATTGATATTCAAAATCCCTATTTCTTTACATAGCTAGTGTCTTGACATACGCTGCTTCCTTTGTTTAGAATCCCTTACTCTCATCTCTTCATTTGCTCCAATATATTTCTGGGCCAACCAAAATCCCCCTTCCTCAGAAAAACACTGCACTGATACCTTCCTCCTGCCATAGAACACATCATGCCAAAGTGTCCTGAATAGTTATTTTATTTAGAACATTTATTAAAATTCTAATAATAGAGTGTTCTTCAACCATACTTGATAATAAGTACAGCTTGTAGATTTCTTGTCCAGGAGAACATCAGACAAAGGTGAACTAATGAATTTATATCTAAGTGTTCCAGTGAAATCCCAGCCTGCTTTTGGCCATGATAGGACCAGTGGAGTCACCTCCACCTAGGGAACGGAAGACTGTGATCTACAGTGAGAAGGAAGGTGATGAAAGAGAAAGGCAAGAGGAGAATCACATCACCACTCTTTTAGTTGAAGACATGTCACCACACAGACTAGTTGAAGACAGATAACCTATATACAGGGGTTCTCAATTTGTGGTAGTTTTTTGTTTGTTTATGTTTTTGTTGTTTTTGATAAGCCCAAGAATCATATTTTCCTCAATAAATTATACATAATTTATTTGAGAGTCAAAGCTAGCATGTCCTCTTTAGCCATCTTGGCTTAGGTGACCATGGATGGAACTTATATGTAGTCCTTACCAGCTCAGACCCACTTTTCTGTTACTTCATAGACATAATTGGACATCCCAGGACAACATTCTGGAAAAGAACTTATTTCTCCAACATTTTGACTTTGAAGGGACTATGCAAAGTTTGCCTACATTCTACCATTTTAAATATGCATTATGGTCTGTTTCTGTAGCCATTAGATTTGTTTGACTGCATCTAAACTTCTCTTAGCCCAGGAATCCCAGCTAGGGCCCTATGTTTCCTACACCTAACCACCCATCTAGCCATTTCTTCTTTGATATCTAGCACTTCCACAGGAGGCCTGGAAAATACATCTGATTACTTCCTCTGTGTTTCACTAGTTCTGAAAGAAGTCCTTGCTTTTATATATCATAAGTCACCCCAAAGTGATTGTTTGCATTATTAATTAAGTATTAATGATTCATTTGTATAAACTTTTCTATGCTTTTGGATTTAAAGTCAAAAGCAGACCATTCTTATTTTTCATCTTTTGTCATGAGTCTCCTAAATCAAAGAACCCAAAATGGTTGGGAAAACAAATGGAGATATTACTGGCTCAGAATTACTATATGGGAAAAAAAGACGCTTTTAGTTTTATCCCGAATCACTACAACTTTATCTGGGGTTTCCACAAGAGGGTCAACATAAATCATAATTCATTTCTGGATCAGACTGACACACAAACCTTGCATAGTCTTTGAAATAGCAATGAAAATAAGATTTTTCTAACTGGGCATCTACTGGGTAAAGCTGGAAGTGAAAGTTATGTTTTTATGTATATGATTGCATTTATTCTTCAATACACCTCTATGAGCACAGTAGGAAGACCATGTTCCAGGGAAAAATGTGTTCTGCTCTAGACAAGTTAAGTTTGAGATTCCCACAGGACATCTAAGAATTATCCATCTGGTATATAGAGCGTGAACTTGGATAATTTTGGCTGGGCCTTTTATGAATTACGTCAGTATAGACATAGTTGTTAAAACAGTGGATGTGACTGAAAGTACCTAATAGAATAGAAATAATGATGCCTCTCATTTACTGAGTATGCCGAATGACTCAGACTATTCTAAGGGTTTTTCAATAATTATCTTCATTAATCCTTTATAATCCAATTGTTTCATGTATTAACTCATTTAATTCTTTGTGGTACACAACGAACAGAAGAGGGAGTTAAATTTGAGGGCGGTCAACATAGCTCATAACAGTCCTAAATTACCAAGGATGTCCCTAAGCAAATCAGAACACCAAGCTAGCTGTCTTTAGTGAGAAACATCTCTGTGTAGACGGAGATGGTCGGATCTACATGACAAAGTTTATGCTGGTTGTCACATATAATCATGTGGGATTCCTGGAAAAAATAAAGGCTAATATTGGAATGCAAAAAGATCAGAATAAAGGCTAACACATTCAGACACACAAAAACGCAAAGGCTTTCTGATTGTTCCAGTTCTCAGGGCCATTTGTCAAAAGTCCCAAGCCTTCCTTGACAGCAGTTGCACCAGGAATACATTTGGTACGCTCCTCCTACCTTTCTGCCCAATGAGAAGTTTTCCTTTAGCCCTTGTCATTGGACACACCAGCTCCTTTCTCTATCCTGTTGTTCCCTGACATCTCCTGCCCTTTCACTTGGTCTCATGCTGGGTAGGAGTGAATATTGCATTTCATGGCCCCAACAGAGGGGGAAGATGTGACTCCAAGGACAGGAATTCATTAAAGGAGATAGGTGAGAATGAGAAAAGAGTCCTTCAGATGGAAATAGAAGAAGAGATGTGGCTCACAGGGAGGAGAGGCAGTGTGATTGGAGAAAGAAATGTATGACCACCTGCATCTCAACTGGTTTATTTTTGTCTCTTTATGCTTCAAGGTCACCAAGGACAAGGATATCAAACAAATACCGTTCAATCTTTATTCCAGTGTGGAAATTTTGCCTGAAGTCCTCCACCTAAAACCCTGATGCCACTGGTAATGATGTTTATGAAGATAAGATCAAAGCACAGAAAATAATATATGTATATATATATCTGGTTGAAATACTATATATATATATATACACACCAGCTATTAATTCTAGGAAATGGAGTATTAAGGGTGAATTTTATTTCATTAGTTTTACTTTTATGCATTTTCTTCATATCATATTTTGCATTCAGAGTTTTCATAACTTGAAAAAAAATAAATTTTTTCTTTATAAAAGAATGCTTCCATAGGAGTTCTTTAATCTATCTGTGAGTTATTTAAAAGCAAATAAACTGTGGTCTGCAAGTCAGGGTGGGGCACACAGATTTATAGTTTGGATGGGATCTTTAAGGAATAGGCCCTGGTAAAGACTGAACTGACTGTGCCCTGCCCAAAGAAACCAGACCAAGGGGGCAGGTAAGGGTGAAATCCAGCCTATGATTCTGTTGCAAGCACTGTGTCCTGGGAAGGAGTTGCTCTAGCCAAAACTAGAGATATCTTTTCAGAATTGGACTCCAGGAGGGGGAATAATTGGGTAATTTGCTTGCCAAACCAGGCACCTTCTGGTGATGTGCATGAAGGCACTTGCCTATGTTAAAGGAAATCCTGGCCCTGTTTGATGTAAATTACCTGGTTCTGTACATTTCCTTCAGCACCAACAGCTCCTCAGGAGCTCTCCAACCATATTTCCTCTTCTCACGTTCCATTGTGTGAATCCATCAGAAAGTTGCCCCAGGCAGACAGTTAACTCAGGCAAACTGAAGAATAATTAATTTATTTTAGAGTAGAATGGCAGAAAGTCGGTATCTAAAACTTACAATGTATTTGTAGATCATATATTTGGTACCTGCTACAATTATTTTGTGTCACTTAATCTTCACAGTAGCTCTAGACGGTTGACAGTTTTCTCCTTTTTACTCTCCATATATAAAGCAAAAAGGGCACAGAAAGCAAATTTACTTTCCAAGTGACACTTAGGTGGTCTTATATAGTCCTGATTTAACATCCAGGCCTGTTGTTCTGGCTTGGATTAGGTGTGCTAATGTTAGGAGAACAGGGATAAGATGCAAATTAAACAGTGAATAAGACGGATTCCACCTAAGATGGAGAAAGCTGAAAAGAGCCTCACTCTCACCCTTATAATTAGGAAAAAGTAGATAATTGCAAAATCACAATCTTCTGTACTCATCAGAGAACTGTGGTGATCTGAAGCTATATATGCCCAGTTCATCTAAGGAAAAGAGGCATTAAAGTTCTGCCTTTATGGTTTGGGCCAACAATCCAAGGAATAAATATAGTTGTTTTTTTTTTCCCCTCTTGCCCTGCACCTTTCTGATTATGTCTTTTATGAGGCATAAAGGTAAGAAGGTATGATAGATTCAGATACCATGAATAAGTTCTTTTAGACATTCTTTGTTGCCAAATATCATTGCTAATATTCATGTGTGTGTGTGTGTGTGTGTGTGTATGAGATAATTTGATTCATTTGGGAAAATCAAATTTTGAAGGATGTTTTGAAGCCACTGAATTGTTTCCTCATGTGCAGTGAAAAAACTGAAATTCAGAGATTGAGTGAAGTGGTCAAAATCACATCATTCAGCTAGTTAGGAAACAGATTTCATCTTGAGAAGATGTCACAAACTGCTAAAACATCCTCCAAATTCAAATTTGACTTATGGACACTGAACAAATAACTGCTTTATATACAAATGATATTGGTATTCTGAGCTACTCAAATACATAATATTCATATTACTTTATGTAAACTAGGTATAATTGACCACTCTTGAGAATGTAGATGATGGTAATTAAGAGTTAGAGAATGAGTCATTTAGGTGCTTTGTCTAATGTGTTTGCTGATTTCTCCCTGAAATTGTAACTTCTAAGGACAGTCATGTCTGTAAATGAGATAAGAAAGGAATTATCTTCCACCCAAAAGAATTAGCCTGTTCACTGTGTTTTAATTTAAACAACTTCAACCTCTAGTGCCTGGACCCCATTCTATCTTATATTTTTATATCTTACCACACATCAGAGTTCCTACATGACCACAAGTAAGTGAGAATCTGGGGCTTCCCCTAACTTTGAAATGTGTGAACCAAAAAGAAAGACAGAACAGCTCACAGAGATCTAATGTACCCTCATAGACATTTTAGAGATCAGTTTGTACCAAGTGGTTCTCTGCAAGAGGCAGAGAAATAGCTCTGAGAGGATCTCTAGTGTATTAGCAAATGATTCTGATTGGAAGAGGCAAACCCAACACTGTCGGCAATATTATTTCTCTAAAACCACACAGTGAGGTATGTATTAGAATTTTATTATGATAAGAACACATGAGATCAACCACTTAACAAATTTCAAGTTTACAGTGCAGGATTACGAACTACAAGCACAGTGTTGTGCAGCAGATCTACAGAGCTTATTCATCTGGCATATCTGAAATTGTACGCCCATCGAATAGCAGCTTCCATTTCCCCCTTCCTCCAGCCCCAGCCAACCACCGTTTTATTTTGGCTATTATAGATACTCTACATATGTGGACTCATGCAGTATTTATTCTCTTATGGCTGGCTTATTACACTTAGCAGAATGCCCTCAAGGTTCATTCATGCTGTAACTATTGCAGAATTTCCTTCTTTAAGAAAGAATAACATTCCTTATCTATATACCTTATACCACATTTTCTTATCTATTCACTCAAAACTGGGACATTTAGGTAGTTTTCACAGCTTGTCTATTTTGAATAATACTGTGATATACATGGGAGCACTGGTAATATCTCTTCAACTTCCTATTTTAATTATTTTGCATAAATACCAAGAAGAGGAAATCTTGGGTCATATGGTATTCATATTTTTTCTTCCAACTTTTATTTTAGATTCAGGGACTACAGGTGCAGGTTTGTTACATCAATAAATTGCATATCGGCTGGGATTGGTATACAAATGATTTTGTCACCCAGGTAGTGAGCACAGTACCTGATAGGTAGTTTTTCAGTCTTCACCCTCCTCTCACCCTCCACCTTTAAGTAAACCACCAGCGTCTATTGTGCTTCTTTTTGTGTCCTTGCATACTCAGTGTTTAGCTCCTACTTATTAGTGAGAACAAGTGGTATTTGGTTTTCTGTTCCTGTGTTATTTTGCTTCAGATAATGCCTTGCAGCTGCATCTAGGTTCCTGCAAAGGACATGAATTTTTTTTTTTATTACTCTGTACTGTACCATATTGTATATGTACCACATTTTATTTATCTAAACCACTGTTAATGGCCATCTAGATTGATTCCATGTCACTACTATTATGAAAAGTGCAATAAGCATACACATGCACTTTGGGAGGCTGATGCCAGTGGATCATCTGAGGTCAGGAGTTCGAGACCAGTCTGGCCAACATGGTGAAACCCCATCTCTACTAAAAACACAAAACCTCAGCCTTTTGTGGTGGCAGGCACCTGTAGTCCCAGCTACTTGGGAGGCTGGGGCAGGAGAATCACTTGAACCCAGGAGGCGGAGGTTGCCGTGAGCCAAGATCGCGCCATTGCACTCCAGCCTGGGAGAAAAGAGTGAGACTCTAAACCAAAAAAACAAACTAATGAAACAAACAAAAAACTATATACATGCATGTATCTTTTAGTAGAACAATTTATATTCCTTTGGGTGTATACCAGTAATGGGATTGCTGGGTCAAATATTAGTTCTGTTTTAAGTTATTTGAGAAATCTCCAAACTGCTTTCAACAGTGGCTGAAGTATTCAGCAAATAGCAACTGGATCACTGGCTAGCTGTATGCAGAAAATTAAAACTGGATCCCTTCCTTTCACCATATAAAAAAAGTTAGCATATAATTGGCATTTCCACCAGCAATGTATAAATGTTCCCTTTTCTCTACAACCTCACCAGCATCAGTTATTTTTTGACTTTTTAATAACAGCTATTCTGACTGGCGTGAGTTGGTATCTCCCTGTGGTTTTGATTTGCATTTCTCTATTGATTAGTGATATTGAGTATTTTTCACATGCTTGTTAGTTGCATGGATCTTCTTTTGAGAAAGATCTATTCATGGCTTTTGACCATTTTTAATGAAGTTGTGTGGTTTCTGCTTGTTGATTTGTTTAAGTTCCTTATGGAGTCTAGATATTATACCTTTCTCAGAATCATAGTTTGCAAATACTTGCTCCCATTCTGTAGGCTCTTTTCATTCTGTTGATAGTCTAATTTGCTGTACAGGAGATCGTTAATTAGATCTCACTTGTCAATTTTTTGTTTTTGTTGTTACATTTGCTTTTGGAGTCTTTGTCATGAAGTCTTTGCCAAGACCAATGTCCAGAATAGTGTTTCCTAGGTTTCTTCTAGGGCATTTATAGTTGTAGGTTTTACATATATAAGTTTTTAACTTTATATTGAGTAGATTTTTTATATGGTGAAAGGAAGGGTTCTAGTTTTAATTTTCTGTATATAACTAGTCAGTTATCCTGACACTATTTCTTGAATAGGAAGTCCTGTTTCCATTACTTGTCATTGTCAACTTCATTGAAGATCCAATGGTTGTAGGTGTGCAGGTTTATTTCTGGGTTCTCTAACCTGTTCCACTGGTCTATGTATCTGTTTTGTTCTAGCACCATGCTACTTTGGTGACTGTAACTTTGTAGTATAGCTTGAATTTGGATAGTGTGATGCCTCCAGCTTTGTTGTTTCTTCATAGTATTAGTTTGGTTATTTGGAATCTTTTTTGGGTTCCATATAAAGTTTAGAATAGTTTTTCTAATTCTGTGAAAAATGACATTGGTAGTTTGATCAGAATATCATTGAATCTATAAATTGCTCTGGAGAATATAGTCATTTTAACAGTATCGATTAGAATGGAACAATATCCATGAGAATGGAATGTCTTTCCATTTGTTTGTATCATCTCTGATTTCTTTTAGTAGCATTTTGTAACTCTTGTTGTAGAGATCTTTTACCTCCCAGGTTAGCCGTATTCCTAGGTGTTTTATTCTTCGTGTGGCTATTGTGAAAGGAACTGTGTTCTTGGTTTGGCTCTCAACTTGGGTATTATTAGTTGTATAGAAATGCTACTAATTTTGGTACATTGATATTGTATCCTGAAACTTTGCTGAAGTTGTTTATAATTTCTGGGAAATTTGGGGCAAAGGTTATGGGGTTTTCTAGGTATAGAATCATATTATCTGCAAAAGGAGGTAGTTTGACATCCTCCCTTTCTATATGGATGTCTTTTTTTTTTTTTTTTCTCTTGCCTGACTGCTCTGGCTAAAACTTCCAGTGCTATGTTGAACCAGGAGTAATGAGAGTGGGCAACTGTGTCTTGTTCTGGTTCTCAAGAGGTATGATTTCAGCTTTTGCCTGTTTGTGACATGATGTTGGCTGTGCGTTTGTCATAGATGTCGCTTATTATTTTGAGATATGTTCCTTTGATACCTAGTTTGTTGACGGTTTTTAACATGAAAAAATATTGAATTTATTGAAATCTTTTCTGCGTCTATTTAGATAATCACATGATTTTTTTTTTTAATGTCATAAATCACATTTGCTGATTTGCATATGTTGTGCCAACTTTGCATCCCAGGAGTAAAGCTTACTTGATCATGGTGGCTTAGCTTTTGCTGTGCTGCTGGATTTAGTTTGCTAGGTTTTTTTTTTTTTTTTTTTTTTTTTTTTTTTTGGAATTTTTCATTATTATTTTTTAGGCATTTTTTTTTTAAGGGTTTGGTTTGGTTTTGTTTTGTTTTTTTCCTTTCTGTTTCTGTCAGGTTTTGGTATCAGAATAACACTGACCTCATAGAATGATTTAGGGCAGACTCTCCCTTTCTCAATATATTGGAATAATTTTGGTAGGATTGGTATCAGTTCTTCCTTATCTATCAGGTATAATTCAGATGTGAATCTGCCTGATCCATGGCTTTTGTTGGTTGGTAGGTATTTTATTATGGATTCAATTTCAGAATTTGTTATTGATCTGTTTAGATGGTCAGTGTCTTCCTGGTTCAATCCTGGCAGGTTGTATGTTTTCAGGAATTTATCTATTTCTTCTAGATTTTCTGGTTTTTCAGCATAGGAATGTTCATAATGGTCTCTGAGAGTTTTTTGTATTTCTGTGGGTTCCATGGTAATGTCCCCTTTGTCATTTCTAATTGTGTTTATTTGGATCTTCTCTTGTTTTACTGTCTATTAATCTGGCTAGTGGTCTATGTATCTTATTCTTTCAAAAAAACAATTTTTGTTTCCTTGATTTTTTTTGTGAATTTTCACATCTCAATTTTATTCAGTTCAATTTAGATTTTGATTATTATTTTTCTTCTGCTAGTTTTGGGGTTGGTTTCCTTTTGTTTTTTCTAGTTCCTGTAAATGTGATGTTAGGTATAAATTTAAGATATTTCTGACTTTTTGATGTAGGCCTTTAGTGCTATAAACTTTTCTCTTTACACTGCTTTAGCTGTGTTCCAGAGATTCTGTTATGTTTTATTTTTGTTTTCATTAGTTTCAAATTGATTTCTGCACTAATTTTATTTCTTACCCAAAAGTCATTCAGGAGTAAGTTGTTTAATTTCCAAATACTTGTATGGTTTTCAGAGATCTTCTTGGTATTGATTTCTATTTTTGTTGCACTGTCATCTGAGAGTGTGGTTGATATAATTTCTGTTTTTTGAATTTCTTGAGCATTGCTTTATGGTCAAGCATGTGGCCAAAAATGTATGCAGCGCAGAGTATGTGCCGTGTGCAGATGAGAAGAGTGTATATTCTGTTGTTGTTGAGTGGAATATTCCTTATGTGTCTGTTAGGTCAATTTGGTCAAGTGTGAAATTTTGTTCCTAAATATCTGTGTTAGTTTTCTGCCTCAATGATTTATCTAACACTGTCAGTAGGGTGTTGTATTTTCCTACTACTATTGTGAAATTAGCTAGGTCTCTTCATAGGTCTCTGAGAACTTGTTTGATGAATCTGGTTGTGCCAGTGCTGAATGTACACATCTTTAGGATAGTTAAGCCTTCTTGTAGAATTGAAGCTTGTATCATCATGTAATGCCCTTCTTCATCCTCTTTGATAGCTTTTGGTTTAAAGTCTGTTTCTTTTTTCCCAAAATGAAGGATCAACCCCTGCTCTTTTTTGTTTGTTTTCCATTTGCTTTATAGATATTCCTCCATCTATTTAAGTCTGTGTCTTTACATGAAAGATGGGTCTCTTGAAGATGGCATGTAATTGAATCTTGCTTCTTTATCCAACTTACCATTCTGTGCCTTTTAAGTGGAGTGGTTAGCCTGCTTATGTTCAAGGTTAATATTGATATGTAAGGATTTGATCCTGTCATAGTATTATTAGCTGGTTGTTATATAGAATTGATTGTATAGTTGCATATTGTGTCAGTGGAATATTTACTTGTGTTTTTTTTCTTTTCTGTGACAGGTAACAACCTTTTATTTCCATGTTCAACACTCCCTGAAGGACCTCTTATAAGGCTGGGCTAATGGCAACAAATTCTCTTAGTATTTGTTTGTCTGAAAAGAACTATGTTTCTCTTTCACTTGTAAAGTTAAGTTTGGCTGGATATGAAATCATGGTTAGAATTTCTTTTGTTTAAGAATGCTGAATGTAGGCCTTTAATCTCTTCAGGCTTGCAAAGTTTCTGATGAAAGTTCCACTGTTAGTGTTGATAAGGATTCCCTTTGTATATGATTTGCCTCTTCTCTCTTGCTATCTTTCATATTTTTTATTTAACTTGATCTTGGAGAATTGGATAACTATGTGTCTTAGGAATTGTCATCTTGTGTAATATCTTGCTGGGGTACTCTGAATTTCCTGAATTTGCATGTCAACCTCTCTAGCAAGGTTGGGTAAATTTTCAGGGACAATATCTTCAAATATGTTCTCCAAGTTCCTTGGTCTCTCTCCCTCTCTTTCTGTGATGCAAATCAGTTGTAGGTTTGGTCTCTTTACATAAACTCGTATTTCTTGAAGTTTCATTCATTTTTTATTATTTTTATCTGACTTTTATTATTTTTATCCTGTATTTTTATCTGACTGAGTTGATTTGGAGAACTGATCTTCAAGCTCTGATCCTCCGTTTCTGCTGTTAGTACTTCCAATTATATTATGAAATTTTTATAGTGAGTTTCCAGCTCTAATAGATTAGTTTGGTTCTTTCTTAAAATGGCTATTTTATCTTTAAGCTTTTGTATTATTTTATTGGATTTATTAGATTCCTTTGATTGGGTTTCAGCTTTCTCCTGTATTTCAATGATCTTCATTGCCATCTAGACATTGCTGGGTAGCTAGCATAGTAGTTTGGAGGTAAGATACTCTGGTTTCTACAGCGCCAGAGTTCTTGCACTGGTTCTTTCCATCTGTGTGGGCTAATATTTTAC